CAGAAATACACACAATAACACACTTCCCTTTTGTACAAAAATATTCTAGGATTTAGGATCGTTTTCAACTTGTCAGTATTAGTTAGGTCTAAGAAACTTCTTCCTTTCTTCCAGTCTAAGGATTGTAAAATTTAATTCTGTGTGTGTGTGTGTGTGTGTTTTGCCCAGGCTGGCTTTGAACCACAATCTCCTGAGTAACTAGGATTACAAATATAACCCCCCAATGACTGGCTTCTAAATTCTTTTTTTTTTTGGGTCCGGTTGTAGGGCCTGAACTCTGGGCCTGGGCGCTGTCCCTCAGCTCTTCAGCTCAAGGCTAGCACTCTACCACTTGAGCCATAGTGCCACTTCTGGCTTTTTTCTTTTTGCTTATGTGGTGCTGGGGAATCGAACCCAGGGCCTCAGGCATGCAAGGCAAGCGCTCTACCACTGAGCCACCTTCCCAGCCCCTGGCTTCTAAATTCTTTTACACTGGGGCCACTGTCTCTTGACCATCTTGCCTAGTACGGTTCAAATATACTAGCTGACGGCTGGCTGGTGAAAAGCCGGTGTGGATTATGGTTTGTAATCACTCATTACTTTATTATTATTTTTTTTATCCTATTAGTTCTGCTAAGGATCTGGCACCTTCAGGGTTTCTCTGAGCCTCACTTAAGTATGGAGTTAGGGCGCTGTCCTGAGATTTGAAAAATCTCCTTTCTTGTAGGACCAGGAATGAAAATCTGGCAAGAGCAAAGTCTAAACAAATATGGCACTTCTAGAAGCCCTACTACACACGGTTCCATTTGCTTAAGTGATTAAGAATTACAGTTTGTGAACAATTCCTTTTTTAAAAAAAATCAGAAGTAATCCAAAAGTAAAGGCAATCTTTTCATCAGAGGGCCATAATTTCACTTTTTTACTTAAAGGAATGCAAGTTCATTGTTCCTCAACCAAGTCCAGTTCACAAGTCAGGGGCTAGCGCTTCTCTCCTGCCCATGGAAGCCAAGATTAAAAGCACAAATTCTAACATCCAAATTGTCTTTCTGAATACCTAGGTAAAAATTAGAAGATTAAGGGCACAATAGAAAAGCAGCGCAAAAGCAGCCCTGCTGTAATCTCTGTAACAAAGGCTGGCCACCAGCAGACTAGCCGTGTTTACTCAAAGCCAGAGCTATCAATTAGGCTACTTAATTAGCCCAGGCTTGGCCGGTTCAAGAGGCAATTTCTGCTCTCCTTTGTCTTTTATTCCTGCTAGTCACAAAAGGGCTTTGAGGAGGGGTCTTCTTCCACTCTCTGCCTCTGCCCAAGGCTCTGGTAGCCCAAACAGGAATTATGTGACTTTATTCTAATAAAGCAAAAGCCATACAGCTTTTATCTTAGACACAGCAGGACCTAGTGCAGAAACTCTGGGGTGTGTCTAACAAAATGCTTGAATGGGTCATTGCACAGGTGAGAAATGTAATTTCCCTGAAAAACAAAAAGATGTATAAATATTTGAAGTCAACAAATCTGAAGAGGTAAGGGAAACAAAAACCTCTCAATTCCTTGTGCTTGTGTGAGTGTCAGTCTCAGGAAATGTTGGGGGATGGAAGGATGAGGAAGGACAATTAGAGGTCATTTTCCTCGCCCCTTGCAGAGTAGCAGCTTTCACGGATACTGCTAGAATTTCCAGGTAAATGACGCCAGGAAGCCACCTGGACATTTTTTTCTTCTTCCAATAATCTGCTTTTGTCATAAGTCCTACCAACAAAAATCTGCTAAGCAACTGAGGCTGGAGGAGGAAATTAGCCTGGGGGGAAAAATAGATGCAGAGTTCTTACAAACTACTGTGAGTAAATCACTCAATTATTTAAAATCCAGTTGTAGATATATGCAGACCTATATATAGATCTATGCTTACCTACATATATGTGTCTATATATATGTATATATATATATATATATATTCCCTATCTATGTATATGCATATATATATGTATATATATATTCCCTACATATAGGGGACATATGGGCTGCATATATATATATATATATATATATTCCCTATCTATGTATATGCATATATATATGTATATATATATTCCCTACATATAGGGGACATATGGGCTGCATATATAAAGTACAGATCGATAGAAAGACAGACAGACAGACACAAGCACATCTACAGATAGAGTATGGTATACTTGGATAAATCTTTAGGAATCAGAGACAAACTCATGTTTCTTCTATAAAAAACTATCTTCCTTAGTTGAGAGACTATATCATTTACTACATCAAAAGCTCAAGGCAGAGGCTTGGCACCAGTGGCTCATACTTGTGATCTTAGCTACTTAGGTGGCTGAGATTACAGTTCAAAGCCAGCCAGGACAGTAAAGTCTGTGACATTATCTCCAATGAATCAGCAAAATGCTGGAAGTGGAGGTGTGGTTCAAGGGGTGGAGTGCCAGCCTTGAACAAAAAAGCTAAGCAAGAGTGGAAGGCCCTGTGTTCAAGCCCCAGGACCAGCACACAAAACAAAACAACCAAACCAAACCAAACCCCACTACTACCCCAAAAGAGCACCAATCAAGCCAGAACTCTGGAGGCAGTCCAGATGGTCTCCATCAAGCCTGTGCTATCTCCCCGCATTTATTCCATCTCTGCATTCTCTGCCTCTGTTTCTACTAGCCCTGCAGATACTCAACATCTTATACTTGGATCTTCAAAGACCCTTTACACAAATCCTTCTGTGGATAGGCTATTCCAGTCCTCCGTACACTTGCTCAATCTATAAGAGAAATCAGATCCTAGTTGCCAACTTCAGGGTGTTCTGCAGTTCTGTGTCAGTTCCTGTCTTTCTCTGATCCAACCAAGAACTCACATTCATGGAGCTCACGTAATACCTCATATCTCCTGCCGCTTCCTCTTGGCAACATCAAACTGATCTTGACACAGTCTTACAACCATTTTCTTTTTTCTTTTTTTTTTGTTGGTCGTGGGGCTTGAACTCTGGGCTTGGGCGCTGTCCCTCAGCTCTTCAGCTCAAGGCGAGCGCTCTACCGCTTGAGCCACAGCACCACTTCCAGTTTTCTAGCGGGGGTTTATTGGAGATAAGAGTGTCACAAACTTTCCTGCCCAGGCTGGCTTTGAACCGTGATCCTCAGATCTCAGCCTCCTAAGTAGCTAGGATTACAGGCATGAGCCACGGGCGCCTGGCTTACAATCATTTTCTTGGCTTAGGTTGTCCCAAACAAGTAGGAAGTAGCAAGAACGCATTGATGAACAGGTTACTGCTGGGGTTGCTGAGAGACTGAAGGAAATACACCTCTGAGCCATTCCACAGAGGGGCAAGGAAACTTGAGTATTATCTACCAACGTATTGAGGGTTGCTCCTGGAGGTGTGAATTCCCCTGTTCCCTGGCAAACAGGTCCTTCTCCAGTGAACATTCTTAGGCAGGTAGAGAAACACAGGAAGTGTTGGCAGGAACAGCTGGGCAGCAGGCACCCATAGCATCTGCCATCCATTCAGTGTGTGTGTTAACTGCATTCCCCCCAACTGGTCCTAGGTCCTTTCAGATCCCTCCAACTGACACCCTCTTGACCTCTGTGGGGAGTGCATTCCTTCCTCTCCTGTGGACACTGCCTGGCAGCTATTGGTTTATAAGACTGACCTCACACAAGCTGAACTGTTCCCTCCTAGCTTGGCCTCAGGCACAGGGTAGATGCTAGGATGAGAAGGTTAAGAGATACTTCCTGGGCTGGGAAGGTGGCTCAATAGTAGAGCGCTTGTCTTGCATGTATGAGGCCCTGGGTTCAATACTTCAGTGCCACATAAGCAGAAAAGCCGGAAGTGGTGCTTTGGCTCAAGTGGTAGAGTGCTAGCCTTGAGCTGAAGATCTGAGGGACAGTGCCCAGGCTCAGACTGACACACATTGACACACACTGACACACACACACACACTCTCTCACACACACACACAGAGTGCATAATATGTAACATAGAAAACTCCTAGTGGATATTAGTGGCTCATGTCTGTAATCCTAGCTACTCAGGAAGCCGAAATCTGAGGATCTTGGCTCAAAGTCAGAGCAGGAAGTCTGTGAGTCTTCTCCAACTAAGTACCAAAAAGCTGTAAGTGGAACAGTGGCTCAAGTTATAAAGCACCAGTCTTGAGCAGAAAAAGGGCAGCATCCAGGCCCTCGAGCGAATTAGAATTTAATTGTAAGGATATTATTATTATTCTTGTTGTTGGTGGTGGTGGTCGTGGAACTTGAATTCTACCACTTGAGCTACACTACTTCTGGTTTTCTGTGGTTCACTGGAGAAGAGTCCCATGGACTTTTCCTGCCCTGGCTGGCTTTGAACCATGATCCTCAGATCTAAGCCTTATAAGTAGCTAGGATTACAGGTGTGAGCCAGCAAGGACATTATGTTATTCACATCTTCACTGTGCTTGAGGGATATGTTCTTAGGGTGGTTTTCAGTCCTCTCTGAGGAGAGGAGAGGCAGGAGCACAGTCTACAGGAGCGCCTGGGTGGGATGGCTGCATAGCCAGTTAGGCCAGTAGGAGCCAGTAGCATACTGCTTTAACCATGCCCAGGGGTTATGGGTGATTTTGGGTAGGATGGCTCCTACCTTCCTTTCTTCATGGAAGGAGGAACAGGGGGAAAAATCAAGACACGTAGGGGACTATCACTGAAAGCAGTGGCTGATAAATGTTACCACCACTGTATACACTGTGCCGAGGGTCACACTGGATTTGATCCAGGTTTTGCCACTGACTGAGGGACCCAACGAAGATCATTTGACTCCTCTGGCTCCTGGCGGAAAGGGGCTAGATGAGCTCCTACGTGTCTTAATGGGTACTGACATCAATAGGACATACAGACTTTGGCAGGAGCATGCCCCCCCTCTCAGAATGAGAATTGCAACCACATGTCTCAAGATGGAAAGCCAGTGCAAAGAAGAAAGAAGGCCAGGTGCGGAGCAGCACACCAAAGAGCTGCACATCAAGAGCTGCTCTGAAGTCATGTCTTACCTTCCAGTGATAGCAAAGCACAGTGTACACATTCCGTGTAAGAGTCCTGTGGCATGCTGCAGGAACATGGCCATCTTGGGATTCTCGTCTACTGGGCCTTGTACGGACAGGAAGCAACCTTGCAGTTTGTCAATCAGGCCCATGTTCACCACGTAGCTAGGTGGGGGGGGGGGGGAGAAAGATGAGGCGTGATTCAAGTGGTAGAAGGCCAGCCCTGAGCAAAAATGCTAAGAGACAGCACCCATGCAGGCCCTAAGTTCAAGCCTTAGTACCGGCACACATGCAATCATGCGTGTGCGCACAAACACACACACACACACACACACACACACACAAAGTGCAATGTGATAAATATTCTGTGTGCAAATCCTTGTCATATTTCAGATTGCTTTCAGAAGTACAATTACTGGTCAAAAACCCCATGTATTTTTGGAGTTCATGCTGTGGATGGCTACTGACATTCTAAAAGCTTTGAATAACTAACTGTTGGAAAGGCAGGGTCTGAATGAACAACATCCCTGAGGAAGGAAACTGAGGCTCACCATTATAGCACTGGTGTTCATCAGTGCTTATAATTCCAGAAGTGTTGGTTTAATGATCCTCGCTGCATTATTTGGCGCATCTATGGTAACCCGGGGAATTTCCTCTTCCTGGGTCATACCCTTTATTGATAGAAAGTGATCTTCTTTGTCTTGGTCTTAATATCACAGCCTACATCTAGCCATAGCAGCTCTTGATTTCACCTTTGCAGGATTGTTCTGGAAGTCATTCTGAGACTCAACCTGGATAGTTTTGTAAGCACCTAATTTCCTGTACTCTTTCTGTTTAAAGGTGCTACAAAGATTTCTGTGCTCTACAGTGGAATCTGATGGACACCACATCACTGGTAATAAACACTCACAGAGAAACAGAAGTGCCTCCCAGGCCTTATGGAAATGGGAGTTGCTTGTTTTTGAGGAGGACAATTTTGATGTCACCTGGGAAGGCTGAGCCTACATCTGTCATCTCATTCACCAAAATCCTCTATGTATACAACATCAACAGAGTCTCACTTAAGTGCAGCAAGAGATTTCTACAATACGTGTATTAAATCATGGTTTGAAAATGTGAAAAAGGAAGGAATTATCATCCTCCTGGAAATGGACAAACCAGTTAAGAATTTATAGAATTATCTAACAGTTCAAATGAATCAAGCAGACCTATCTGAACCAACATAAATCCGAATACTAAAAGTTTATGTATGTGTATGTGTGTGTGCACGCACGTGAGTGTGTGCACGCACGTGAGCATGTGCACATGTATAGTGCAGAGTTTTAATCCAAGGCCTTGTGCTTGTGAGAAAGGTATTATACAACTCGAGCCATGTCCTCACAGCTCTTGTTGATGAGTTATTTTCAGAACAGGGTCTCATTCTTGCCTTGGGATAACTTTGAACTGAAATCTTCTGTCTCATATGTAGCAATTACAGGCATGCAAGCACTATGTCTGGCTTTTTTTTTTTTTTTGGCCAGTCATGGACCTGGGCACTATCCCTCGGCTCTTCAGCTCAAGGCTAGTGCTCTACCACTTGAGCCATAGTACCACTTCCAGCTTTTTTCTGCTTATGTGGTGCTGAGGAACCAAACCCAGGGCCTCATGCACACAAGGAAAGCACTCTACTACTGAGCCACCTTCCCAGTCCTATGCCTGGCTTTTTTGGTGGGATAGTTTTGCTACATTTTTGCTTGAGCTGGCCTCAAACTGAGATCCTCCTGAACCTACCTCAAGAGCAAGTGTGCAGTAGACAACCTGTGCTCTGTGGGCTATCCTGCACAGGTGCAAGACATAGCACCTCCCACAGGCACCACCCCAAGTGGCCAATCAGAGAAACAAGCACAGATCTCAACTGCTGTATGTGCCAGTTTGGCAGAACCCCCCTGCCACTTATTTCCCAGTACCTCCCTCCTTTATGAAGAATGTGGTGATTACATAATAAATAGATATGAACATGCAAGCATGTTCCTCCCGGAAGGCCACTGGTCCAATGGAGCATCAAGCCAGGCCTTCTGGCTCATTGCTGCCCAGGCACGTGACTAAACTGTCTGAACACAGGGCTGCTGCACAGGATGAACAGCCCCGGGAAGAACGCTGGGCTGGAATGACATTGACCAGTGGAGAGGGCTAGGGTCTCTACTGACCAGAAGGACATGAGGAAATTGAATGGGATCAAGCGACTGAGAGCCAGGGCAGGGAGGGTAAAAGTCAAGTGCTATAAGATAAATGGCTGTGGACCCAGAGGGCCTGGTGCGCTCCAGCCATAAATATGCTTGGGGAAAGAGGGCAGGCAGACCAAGCGATGAGGGAACACAGTGACCAGGGGTGAGGGAGATGCGAATCAAACAACTGCTCCCAGGAAGGCGGCCCAAGAAGCCCCAGGAAATTTATGATCTGTGAAAGAAGCAAAGGCAGAAGAAGAATGGCTTTTTTTCCCCACCCCACCCCTCCTATTAACCTATGGTAAGTTCGAGAGAGCAACAAATTGCATGGATTTGGAGGGGGAGGGGGCAGAGATCAGTGCAGACCACAGAGCAGTGGCTCACTGGGGGAGCAGGCAACTGATCAACAGCAGATGGAACCCTGCTGGGAAATTAAATGTTCCACCTGCCTCAAAGGGAACAGGAGTTCAGATGCCAAAGCACGAGTAAATTTCCCCAGAGGAAAAGAGACCTTGGAAGGAAGCAGGGCTGACCTCGAACAGGTGTCAGGAGCTGCCACACTGTTGCAGATGCTGGGGGAGCGACTGGAGGCGAGTTCCAGTCTCTGCTCACCTACCTCCCTTTTAACTTATTAAATAATCTTGGCCAAAGCACTTAACCTCTCTGAGCAATTTCCTCATTTATAAAATCGATTAGAAACCCCAGACCTGCAGGGCTGCAAAGACTCTGCCACACTACCTGCCATGTGATGGGAATTCCATACATGGTAGCTGTGTCTCTTATTTGAAGTCTCAACCAGATTTATAACCAGCGATGCACAGAGGGACCTGTCAGACCTTCCTCGAGGTGGAAAGAGTTGCCATCAGGAAAGATGTAAGACTCTGACACTGTGCAACGCTAGCATCACACGTCTGAGTATCAAGAACGGCAGCGGAGTGTGGTGCTGGTGGCTCACATCTGTCGTCCTAGCTACTCTGGAGGCTGAGATCTGAGGATTGTGGGCAGGAAAGTCCATGGGACTCTGATTTCCAATTAACCAGCAAAAAAGCCAGAAGTGGAGCTGTAGCTCAAAGTAGTAGAGCATCAGTCCTGAGCAGAAAAAAGCCAAATAAAAGCCTGAAACTCTAAGTTCAAACAAACAAACAAATAAAATGGTAGCTGAGTTCTTCACTAAGTTGCTATGTTGCTTTTCATTAGGAGATTTTCCTTCTCTACAAAATCTGGTGCATTCTTTACTAGGAATTTGTGTGTCGTGTAGTAAGAACCACTGCCATCTTGTGGTCCCTACAGTTTAAGTTATTTGAATACCATATACATGTATATATATATTTATATGTATATTTAAAAAAATGATAAAGTCTTAAGAAACAGAACAAGTTTATACCTGATAAGATCCTGAATGCGGCTGTTGAAAGCATCGCCTTGTGAGGGGTTGTTTCTCATTTCCTGTGTTGATATTTTTGGTGTTGCTGGCCGGCTGTTTGCATCTGGTCGATTGGCAATCAGGCAGCTCAAAACCACAGCACTGACTTTGAGAAGGCCAGTTGTCAAGCCTTCAAAAACTTGTTTATTTGTGTTTCTTCCCAAAATAGCATTATTTTCATCTGGAACATAAACCTAGAAGAAGAAAAGTAAATTGTGTTTCAATAAAGCCACCAAAATAGAGATGAGTTACTACATTTTGAGAATCATAAATTATTTATTTGGACATTCTATTAGGGATGGATCAGAATGCTCAGGCGTGTTGGCTAAATCAGATGATAGTTGGAATCTCAGCTTTGCCTCCTCTAGTCTGGTGACAGTGGACAGGTTATCATTCTGAACTGATATCATTCTCCAACTGAGAAAGCCATCAGACCAGGAAGATAAGGGGACAAGAGTGTTAAATGAACAAGAACACACACACACACACAGCACTGAACTATACTAAAATATTGTATCAATAGATAGAAAAAAGAAAACACTGCTTTTTCTTAGATTTAATTTTTTTCTTACCCATTTTTCCTTTTTTGTTTCTCCTTTTGCATTTTCTTTTTTTTTTTTGTTTTTTTGGTCCGGTTGTGGGGCCTGAACTCTGGGCCTGGGCGCTGTCCCTCAGCTCTTCAGCTCAAGGCTCTACCACTTGAGCCACTTGAGCCACAGCACCACTTCCGGCTTTTTTCTTTTTGCTTATGTGGTGCTGAGGAATTGAACCCAGGGCCTCATGCATGCAAGGCAAGTGCTCTACCACTGAGCCACCTTCCCAGCCCCTCCTTTTGTATTTTCTAAAGAACCCAATTTTACTGAAGTTAGATTTTGGACTGGGATTGAGCCTCTAATTTTCTTACGTATTTCCCTCCTACCATTATCTCTTTGTGCCTTGCTGTACTTACTTGGAGAGTTCCTTGTTTTCCGGTCAGTCCTTCTAAGATTTTCATGTCATCAATTAATATGTTTAATTTCAAAAGTACCTTTTAGCTTTTGAAAATTATACTAACTTGTTTTTATTTCAAGGTATAGTATCTACTCACCTTTGTGATATTACATAATTTTATTTATTCATTTAATGTGGGTATTGGGGCTTGAACTCAGCGCCTTGTGCTTTCACTTGGTTCTTTTTACTCAAGACTGGCTGGCACTCTACCACTCAAGCCTTGCCTCTACTTCTGGCTGTTTGCTGGTTAAATGGAGAAAAGAATCTCACAAACTTTCCTGCCTGGCTGGCTTCAAGCCTCAGATCTCAGCCTCCTGAGTAGCTGGGATTACAGGTGTGAACCACGAATTCTTGTCTTTGTTCATTTCTTGCTTGATATTTCCTTTGAGTTCTTTCTCTGTGTTTCAGGTTGGAGACTACCCTCAAGGATGTGGTCATCCTGAGGTTTTGCTCCTATTTGAGATTCACACACAGGTAAGTCAGTTAAGTGTACTACAATCTGGATCCAATCACAAGCCGTGTGACAAGTTTCTATCTGGAGGATTAGGTAGCGCCCAACTTTTCCCATGGGGGATCCAAATGTCCATATTTTCATGTTTGTTCTCCTTAATCACTTAGCTTCGCTATACACAATTCTATATTCTCCAAACCTGAACTCTGAGGTTTACACCCTGTCTGTATCGATGTCCATGTCTGAGTAACTGGCCTGGTCCTCTGCCATGGGTGGGCGGGGCAGGATGGCTGTGAGTGTAGCAGACCAGGCCTGGGCACACAGAGCATCTACGCTACCTCTTATTGAGACTCTCAACCAATCCCCTCTCAGCCCTATGTGTACCCTCATTTTCTTTTTCCTGTTTTTTGAGACAGTCCTCGCTATATAGTCTAGGTAACCTGGGACTCCCAACTCCTTCTGCCTCAGACTCCAAAATGCTGGGATTACAGGCGAGTGCCACCACATCTGGCCTTTACCCTCCCTCATTTTCTGAGATTTCTGTAATAAGTCTTTTGGAGATTTGTGGCACACATTTACTTCTGGTATTCTTCCTGCTAGTTTAGATTTTTCAGTTTTGAGGTGTATCACATTATCTGCCTTCCAGATTTAAAAAGAAAAACTGCTTTTCTTTCGTTCCTGTGCTTTTTCTTTAAGGGGATATGATCTTATTTACTGTAAAATCAGTGGGCAATACAGACAGAGAAAATGTAAGCTATGTGTTCAATCACCTAAGTTTTCAAATGAAGCCAACAACTCCCCCAAGGAAACTCCTCTCTCTGTCTTCCCACGAACAAGATGAGCGGACCACTAACATATTTCTGGGTAATGTCAGGGTTCTTCATTCATCACCAACTTTTTTTTTTTTTGGGTCCGGTCGTGGGGCCTGAACTCTGGGCCTGGGCACTGTCCCTCAGCTCTTCAGCTCAAGGCTAGTGCTCTACCACTTGAGCCACAGCGCCACTTCCAGCTTTTTTCTTTTTGCTTATGTGGTGCTGAGGAATCGAACCCAGGGCCTCATGCATGCAAAGCAAGGGCTCTGCCACTGAGCCACCTTCCCAGCCCCATCACCAACTTTTATATTCCTTTCTTCCCCCAACAATTCACACTGCTTTTCATCATGAAACATTTAATTAATTAATTTTTGTTGGTCGTGGGGCCTGAACTCTGGGCCTGGGCGCTGTCCCTCAGCTCTTCAGCTGTAGACTAGTGCTCTATCACTTGAGCCTCAGCCCCACTTCCAGCTTTTTCTGCTTATGTGGTGCTGAGGAATCGAAACCAGGGCCTCATGCATACAAGGCAAGCACTCTACCACTGAGCCACCTTCCCAGCCCCCTCATCATGAAACATTTAAAAGAAAACACTACATATATATGAAGGTTCTTGGAGCAATCTTTTGTTTAGCTAAAAGTATTTTACTCATTGACTGCATTTGAAAGAATACAGTTAAAGAACCAAGGAGTTATTAAGACTTTTGAGAGGGGCTGGGAAGGTGGCTCAGTGGCAGAGTGCTTGCCTTGCATGCATGAGGCCCTGGGTTCGATTCCTCAGCACCACAAAAGCAAAAAGCAAAAAGCTGGAAGTGGCGCTGTGGCTCAAGTGGTAGAGCGCTAGCCTTGAGCTGAAGAGCTGAGGGACAGCACCCAGGCCCAGAGTTCAGGCCTAACGACCGGACTCCCCCCCAACCCCCCAAAAAAAGCACAGTATAGAAGAGAAAAGTAGCAGCAAACAGTGTCAAAGTGTGACAGTTCTGGAAGGAAGAATGCAAAAATACAAGAGCATGTCTGAAAATGTCATCATGGAACTTGATGTTTAATAAAAAGATAAAAATATACCAATGAAAATTGAAGCTGGACACTGTGTATATATACGAACACACACATATATATACATTAATGTATGTATACATATACACACTTATGTGACACATGTGTATAGGTACACATATATTTATGCACCTTTTATGCACATGAATAAACAGGGGCTCAGAAAGGTGAAACGACTTATGGCAGATGGCAAAGTTAATTCACGGGAGAGTAGTTTCTCAGATTCACGGGGCCTGACTCATCTTTAGTGATTACCCTCAACCCTCAACGACTCTAACTTTCCTGGTATGAGACTGGATTGGCTAACCTCTAAGGCCTCTTCCAGTTCTCAGATTCTATTATTATGTAAGATTTTGCTCACGACCCTAAAGTTGTCCAAGTAATTTCATGTGTTGGAATACAAGCAAGAAGCAGGCAGTAATAAACACCAACAAAGAAGGAGGTGAAAGCAGGTACACCGATGCCCACAGGAACATAGCTAAGCGGGAAAGCCATGTAGAAAGTAATGTCTGCTATTGTAATGATAACGATAGAGTGCCTTGAAGAGCTGGGGAAATTAAGAGCCCTAGAGTCAGAAAGGCCTCACGGTCATTATCTAGTGATGAACTAGAAGATGTTCCCATACAACTCATGGACTTCGTCCTTGGTGTCAATCTGCTAGCCTCTGTCGTATGGTGCTCACTAACTGCTCGCTGAGTAAGGCCTTCCAATTTTAGAAAACCCACATAGTTCATTATATCTAAGTCAACGTCCATCCTGCTGCTAGCTCTGCAGACCCTGCTGGCTCTGGACTTTTCTTTCTTCTGCCCCTATCACCTCAGGCTTGCTTCCTGATGCAAGAACCATTTGAATTCCAAAACAGCATTAACGTACATCTAGTGATAATGTTACCATCTGTCTCTTGCATGGCATGCTTTCCAGCGCTGCCATCCTCTGGATTACTCTATTGCACATGAAGAATGGAGTCCTCTTATTCTATTCTATGTCATCATTTTGTTAAAAAAAAAAAGTCATGACACATGCTGGACAGTTTCTTTTTTTTTTTTGTCAGTCGTGGGGCTTGAACTCTAGGCCTGGGCGCTGTCCCTCAGCTCTTCAGCTCAAGGCTAGTGCTCTACCACTTGAGCTACAGCGCCACTTCCATGCTGGACAGTTTCTAGCCATGTGAAATTGTAGGCCCCAGTTTTCTCCAATGATATGCCAGAAAAATGAGACACCTCTAAACATCACACCTTGTAGCTAATGTGTGTACGATGGTACTGGCGCTCGAACTCAGGGCCTGGGCACTGCCCCTTAGCTTTTTTACTCGAGGCTATTTGCTCTATCACTTGAGCCACAGCTCCACTTCTAGTTTCCTGGTGGTTAATTATAAAGAGTTTCACAGACTTCTTGCCTGGGCTGGCTTTGAACCACAATCCTTAGGTAACAAGTATGAGTCGCCAGCACTCAGCATGTAGCTGATTTTTTTTTCAACTAAACTCCCAGCCCACTGAGATCTATTTCTGTCCTGATCATCACACACAGGTTGTCCATCACTCTGAGTTTTATATAAATTTGATATGACCTCTATGCTTTTGATAGTCAGATTTCCATGAACACAAGGCTAAGCTCAGAAGCACTGAAGGCACCAAACCCACACCAGGGCAATGACTACCAAAACAGCTTGTATTCACTTTCCCAAACTCAAATCAGTTCACTTGTAAAATGGAAGGCACAGGGCTAACGGACTAGAGGAAGGCACGTGTGAAAAAGAGAGGCGTGTGCCTATGTGCACGCTTGCCTGCACACAAAGCAGGGCAGATGGTAAGTACCTGCAAGCATAAAACACCTGGCTTCCTAGCGCCTTAGTGGGGAATTCCTACATTAATCATTTAGCATTTTACAGCAA